GCATGCTTAGTTTGGGGGATTGTATTTGAGTCAATGAGTCAATGCAATCAACTGGTTTTCCTTAGATAGAAAACTTTGTATCAATTTGATCTGGTTGAACTGTAAAGTGCCTTGAGATGACATGTGTTGTGAATTTGGCGCTATATAAATAAACTGAATTGAATTGAATTGAATTGAGTGCTGGAATTACAGCGGTGAACTGGTGACATTTTGAGTATGTTTGGCTCAACCTGCTGCTGTGAAGCAGGATTCTCCACCATGAACAGAATCAAAAATAAACATGGATCCAGACTCAAAATCAGTACCTGGATATGTGCTTGAAAATGGCTTTTTCTCCAGTCATACCCAGAATTAAAGCCTTGCAGGGTAGCCTGAAGCACACTCAATAAGCCATTAAAAAAGAAAAAAATCCCAATCAGTTCAGGTGTTTTATAAAATATGTTAATCAGGAAATTGTCTATATACCAAACGGAACGATTGCTGTTCTCTACTTTAAAAAACCACTTTAGATTTTAAAACATAATTATTATTATTTTTTTTTTCAAAGTCAATGTATAACATGGATGCATTTAAAACCTCATTTGATGACAGTGTTAATTTCTGTTTAAAGTAATTATAATAAAAAATGTCTCCAGTCCTTTACTGGTTATTGATTTTCTTAATTTGGACCCCGCTGATTATTAATTGGTTACCCCTGGGCTAAAGCACAGTTCCAAACTTGGGGTCATGAACCCACTTGGGGTCTTTAAACAACTGGTTTGGGCTCTTTAGATTCACTACAGAAATCAATCAAACAAACAAAAAAAAAAGCATTTATGTAAAAATGCTCAAAGTTATAAAAGCAACACTTAAAACTGGGGAAAACCAAGTACTTTGATTGTTGATGCTGTTCTTAATACTATTTCACTCGTTGTCAGTTGAGTTTGTCAGAATTTTTATATACTCAAAATCTGAGCAACTGCGACATAATATTTTAAGGCTGGATCGTAATCTTGATGAACCGACTGCACAGATGATGTTTAGATGTGTACTTTCTCATTCAAAAATATATTAAAACTACAACTTTTTACCAGCTTATCACAGCAAATATAGCAAAGCCACTCTCTGCCATTGAATACTGATAGTTTGGATTATGAGTAAACTCTGATACAATTTTGTAGGATAGAAGCTATAATACTTGTGGAACCTCTGTTTTAAAGTATGCACTCTTGCCCTGTTTTGTCGTGTGTGTTATTCATTTTATGTGCATGTGAACCCCCCCCCCCCCGAAATATTCCCTGACTTTATAAAAGTAAAACAATTTGCAGCCTAATAGGCAGTTGTTTCCAGCTGTTTAGAGGGTGGCAGCACATTGTAGCTGTGGGAGGCAGTCAGTGTATACAATGTGCAATTTTTAAAAGGTCCTGTTGGGGGAGCACCATTTGAAATAGACTTAGTTCTGCTTTAACAACAGATGTTTGCTTCCATCCCATTTAGATTTTTATTTCTAGGGTGGGATTGGTCATGTTTAGTCATCTACAGTGATTTAGTGAAGAACCGTGGGCAGCAGAGCAATGTCAGAACCGTAGACCATGGTGCCAAAAGGGAAGGGATGTATATAGGATACAATATTAGTAAATATGGGTCATCAGCCGTAACAGCAATTTTATTATAATATATAAATATATATGGGTGTATACGTAGTTGGGGTATTTGGCTTACTGATAACCTTAAAGTTAAACTAGCAAACTTGCTTTTTTATTTGGAACTTGAGTATCAGCTCACAAAAGATTTGACAGATGCATTTCAGAGTATATGTCATTACAATCCATTTAAAAGGTATTTTTATACCCACTAACTCGATTTGGTGGACTCCTTTCACTGTAATGGTTTAACATGAGACAGAAACTGGTCCACATAATCTGATTCAGGGCAGAGAGAAGATAAAGGAGAGAGAAGGAGATTCCTGACCTCCTCCAACCATAAGGATTGCTAGAACTGCCAACAAATTAGGTTTAAAAATATACTAGGAAATACATCAGTGGTGATAAAGCAAAGAAAAGCATGTGAACCATGATATTGGAGATTTAATATAATACAATTTTGTTAAGTAAGTTACCATTTTGAAAGACTACTCTTCCCCGAGAAAACATTAAATCACTGAAGCATCAAGAAATTGTTCCTGACGATATGTTAATTGTTTGTTTTGAAACATACGCAATTTTTTTACTGAGACTGACACCTCAGTAGTGCAGCACCGATGCATCTATGAGCCTAAAGCCTATTTTAATGAATTTGCTTTGGGTCAGAAGTTCCCACGCTGCTCGGTGCATATGACATCAAGACATGTTAAATGGGCCCAACCAACCAAACAATCGAAGCATTATACACCCAGAAGTGATAGACATTTAGCTCAACTCAGACACTAATGGCAGTTGAAAAAGTAAATAAAGAAAAAAAGAAATGAAGTACGGGCACGAGCTAATACACCAAGCAAAACAGTGCTGCAGTACTGTGTTTCAGCCACAGGTGGCAGTATCATTAGAAAACTGTAATGCCGCTTTAAAGTTACAATTTGAAATGTTTTTGCACAGTTTCGACAGTTTGACTTCTTTCTTTGTGCAGCCAGACTGGGTAGAGTTTTTTTTTTTTTTAATCTGTATAAAGCATGGAACCAAATAGTTCTGTTACCTGCTGCCGGTTAGTGGGACCTAAGAAGGCATGACTTTACAACATAATTTAAAGCGACAACGGTAATTGCACAAATATTATTATAATGCTTTGGAAATTAAGTGTGCCACTCATCGCTTCTAAATAACATGGTAATGTGGTTTTTAAGCTACAAGCAACATGCCTGTAGCTGGCTGGCTATTTGAGAAGATAGCCTCACTAGTTGACATGCAGATATCAACATTTTGAGTTTGTGTTACAAGTTTAAAAACAAAGAAAAAAAATTTGTAAAATACACTAAACTATTATAAGGTTGCAATCTGATCTTTTCTGATTAAAATTAAAAAGAGAGATCATATCTCTCCTATCCTGGCTTCCCTTCAAATGCAGAATAGAATTTAAAATCCTCCTTCTAACATATAAAACCTTCAATGGCCAAGCTCCATTTTATATCAGAGATCTGATTGTTCCTTATATTCCTAACAGAGCACTTTGCTCTCAATCTGCAGGTTTACTAGTGGTTCCTAGAATTTCTAAAAGTACAATGGGAAAAAGGGAGGCAGATCTTTTAGTTATCAGGCTCCTCTCCTGTGGAACCAACTACCAGTTTTAGTCCGTGAGGCAGACACCCTGTCTACTTTTAAGGCTAGGCTTAAAACTTTCCTTTTTGATAAAGCTTATAGTTAGAGTGGCTCAGGTTATCCTGAACTATCTCTATATCTCTATCTCTGAGTTCTCTATATTATTGGGAGTGTTGGCCTAGTGGTTAGAGCAGTGCGCTTTTGCTCTGAGAAGGTTGCAAGTATCTACCCTACAGCTTGCACTCTGGGTTTCTGACCACAACTCCTAACCCCACTGCTCCTCAGGTGCCACACAATCGCAGCCCACTGCTCCCCAAGGGGATGGTTCAATTGTCTCCATTGTGGGACAATAAAGGGAACTGGCTCAGAGCTCATCTGCCTGGCTATGCATTTCCTGGACGAGGCCGTCTGTGGAGCTGGTTGACAGTTACATTTTCTATCTTTGCTTCCTTCTGTATGTCTGCTCCTTTTTCCCTGAACCGCAGTCGGCCTCAGCAGACCACCGCTCACACCGAGCCTGATTCTGCTGGAGGTTTCTTCCTGATAAAAGGGAGTTTTCCTCTCCACTGTCACTCCATGCATGCTGGGTGTGAGGAAATGCTTTTGAGTCACTGAGTTGATGCAATCAGCTGGTTTTCTTTAGATAGAAAACTTTAAACCAATCTGACTGTATGATCTGACTGAATTGTCTCTGTAAAGTATCTTCAGATGACATGTGCTGTGATTTGGTGCTATACTGTAAAAATAAACTGAAATTAACAGAAACTTCTCTTTGCCCATTCCTAGTGTGAAATGGATATAATATTTTTGATCTGCTAAAATATAATTTACTTACATTATTTCTATGTTGCAGTCTATTAATGGTTATCTGGGATTTGTAGAACATAGAAAATAAAATTTGGATAATATAGGGAAATATCAGCTGATGAATAAACCTTATATCAAACATTAAGGTGCCTTGAATCTACGATCCAATTCATAACACTATCATCTTTGATACACAAGGTTTAAAGGCCCAATAATAATAATAATATCAGTGTTTTATAAATGAAGGAGAATAAGTGTGAGACATCCTATCACTCATTCATCTAGTGATTTTTGCTTTTTTTTTTGGGTGGGGGGGTAATTTGTCAAAGCCAGATTACTTATTTAAAAAGTGAGGTCATGACCCATTCATGTGGTCTTGACCACAAGCTTCAAGCTGCATGTTTCTCACAGTTTTACTTTTTGTATGAATATGCATTTCCCTGATGTTACATTGCTACATTTCAGGCCTGTCATCAATGAAGACCTTTCAAAAATATAAAAATGTCAAGAAACATAAGTATTTACTCAGATACAAAGATTGTTTCTGAAAACCCATGGTTATGCAGACAAGGCGCAAAGCGAAACAAAGTTACTTGATGCATGCATACCTGGCATTTGACCCATTTTCATTTGCATGTCTGTAGAAACCTGTGCAGGCAGAGTAATAGCAACTCTAGCCCTGAGCTCACACCCTAAATTCAATCCTGGTGATACAGCATGCATTAAGTGCATTGAATTATGGCTGTGCAGCAGTGCTGTGGCTGACTGAGCAGCTGAGAGCATCTTCTAGAAATTAGTACAAGGAGAACCAATTACAGACTAGTTAAGTGCGTGTGCATGTTCGCTCAGACCTCTGATGCCGTTAGATCTCATCAGGGAGACTGAATCATGCACAGCCTGTGGAAGGCTGGTGGAGCTGAGGAGAGCCAGTGATTGTGTGCGTGCCATTTTCAGCAGCCTCACCGTAAATCATTGCCAGCCCGGTTTCGTGAAGGAAGCGAACCCGCCTGTGCTTGAAGAGCCAAATGGTGAGAATGGTGAGAGTCAGCAGCGAAATGAATGTCAGCAGATTGACGCTGTCCTGTCGGTGACTTTCCTCCGCCTCCTTCTCCGTTCCAAGTTCTTCCACCATTCCGCGCTCCTCCGCGCTGAGTCCTGGCGCCGCGTTCAGGAGGATCCAAACCAGCATCATCATCATCATCGAGCCCCGAGCCGCACAGGCTGCGTCCCGGAGAGCCTCCATGTTTTTAGGATGACACCGCTGAGAGCGCACGCAGCCCGTTTGCCATGTCACAGCTGGGAGAAGAGCGCGCGCACAGCTGTGCGCAGAGGAGACACCGAGCAGGAGTTCAACCTTTTAAAGGAACAACAGCGCACGGAGGGGGGGTCCTCTATGTGAAGAACAGACGACCTGCACATAAAGTCATCCAGCCAGCAATCTGCAAAGCTACTGAGTCACTGCTCTGAGATTTTGATGATTGTGCAATTCGGAGGTCACTCCTCTTGAAAACAGGAAATTTTAACCGTTTCTGCACAAAGGAGAAGTTGAAGCAGATATCCTGTTGGGATGATCCGGTCAGAGGGGAGGGGGGGGTTCAAATACTCCTTATTTATTGGTTCTGTTCATAACAACCTCCTCTTCAGAAACAGCCAGCTCTTATTGGCTTTTTAGCGGTCACGCACACACTATGAAATACGGTAGCAAAGCTGGTTCGGGCTTTTCAAAATAAAACCAAGAACGTTGGTTCATTCCCTCTGGTCTAAAATAATGGGTATATGAGAATTTGCTTTTTTAATTTTTATTAAGTGTTTTTCATGGTTAACTTAAGAATGCCCATGTATTTACCTAAATTTTTTTAATTGTTTTATTTCCAGTTACTGATTTCACTTCAGAGTGAAAGTACAACACCCTTAGATCCTTCTAACTAAATATCTGCCAGATCTGATGAGGAATTTCAAAATCAAAGCCTCGTGTTGTTGTTTTTTTTTTTGTTTTTTTCTAAATTGCTGTCAGTATTGTTCAGAAAATCTGTTTCCAGTTACTGATTTCACTTCAGCTATCTAAGGGTGTTCTACTTTCACCCTGACGTGAAAACAGATTTTCTGAGCTATAATGATAGCAACTAAGATAAAAGGGACCAATTTTACATATTGTGAGAGCAGAGGCATAGCCAGAACACTATAATAAGGGTTGCCAGGCAATAACCAATGTACACTGAGGGGTGGCAGAAAGGGGATAGGTGCCAGAACCTCAGGGCCAATCTACACTGTTCCAACTGGAAAATTAACCAGCAGAACTATATTTTCTAAATAAAGACTAACTATACTTTCCTACAGCCTTTGCTAACAAATGGTTCCAAATATCTTAACATCCATGCTGTCTGAATTAAAGGTGTAGTGGACAAAATTCTTTCAGGTTTGAGTTCTGGTGTGAAAATCTTATTCATTGTCATTACTAACATATTTTTATAAACAATTGTTCTGCATAAAATTTGTATTTACATGAACTTATATCTAAATTAATGGAATAAACATTCCACTTAGGAGTATTACTGCTGCCGCCATCTGTATTAGAGGGAAGAAATGGTAGGGGTGGCCACAGGGGTGGCCAATGATTGGCTAAGGCTGGCCATGGCCACACCTAGCCCCCCACCTGTGTCAGGGGCTTTAATTTTCCACATCAGATCTTGATCATAGTTGGTGAGAAGCATCCAGGGATGCCCTGCTGTCACCCTGAACTACAATTAGTAATTGGAAGCACAGAGTTTCTTGGCAGTGTTGACAGCAACGTAGGTAGTGGCCAGTTTACACATTTTGAGAGGTTTTAATTTTGTAATTTGGCATCAGATTTTGATAATATATTGTGAGGACTATCTAAGGTTGTTCTACGTTTTCCCTAAACTGAAATCAAGTTTGTTTTTGTTTTTTTGTTGTTGTTGTTGTTTTATTTATTTATTAGCAATATTGACAGCAATTTAGCTAAAAGTAACCAATTTTACACATTTTGAGGTGCTTTGATTTTGAAATTCTACATCAGCTCTTGATGATATTTTGTGAGACATGTCTAAGAGTCTTGTACTTTTACCCTGATGTGAAATCAGTAACTGGAAAATGTTTTTAGTTAAAATAAATGGGCATTCTGAAACAAGGTGCATTAAATTAACCATGTAAATAGTAACCAAAAAAAGAGAAATATTAAAATGATTCTCATATATCCATATTCACATGAGCTCATAAGAAATAGTGTTAGACCAGAGGGAATGTAAATTATAACTTATTCTAGTTCTTAAATGTTAAACTTTTCAGTTTTATTTTGAAAAGCCAAAGCCCTGGTTGTTGCCATAATTCATAGTGTATGCGTGACCAATAAATATCAAGCAAGGTCTGGATTGATGGTCGTTTTCAAAAGTGGACACCGATTTGATTTCAGTTGGAAATGGAAGCATTTGGTGGAGAAATTTGCTTAAACTATTTCCCTGCATAAGCTTCACCTTGTAGATCTGATGTTGTGTCAAACATTTAAAAGTGCTGAGAGGAGATGTTTGTTAGTCTATTTTTTAAAAACACAAATATTTTTAGAAATTCTTCATGAATTCAAACTTTTTATATGACCTTCGAACTATATTTTCAGACTAAATATGACATGTTTCTATTTAGGGCTTATTCATAATCATAACATAGTTCATTGTATAGAGTCACAATAAGCAAAAACTATTTTTAAACAAAATATATAAACTCAGACACACACACACACACACACACACACACACACACATATATATTTCTATACATATATCTCAGAGGAAAATAGTCCATATCAGGTTTGTGCAGTCTAGGCATTTGAGGTTTGAATCTGAAGTTGCTTAATTGTTATCCAGATGCTTTCAAAATGGATAAAATACAATTTTACTCATATTTCTTTATTTCCTTCAAAGTGGAAAATTTTGTTAGGGTGTAGCTGACAAAACTGCTAGAGCTTGTACTCCCACCTGTCGATGATGCCCTGTGCAAAGAACCTTATTGCCTCTATCAAAAAGCACTCCTGACTTTAAATGAACAAACAAAATAACCATTTTAATGTTGTTGTTGATTTTTTTTATTTCTTAATAAATTCTACCACAGTTTTGGGGCTACATTTTGTAATTAAACCCTCTGCCTGAAAGATCAGTAGCTAAGGGCACACATTGAAAGTGATCCAGCTATACTTTTGCAGTTTTAAGTAAAAGTTGAAAAATTTAGTAGGAACCAATGAACCTCTTTTTAAATCACTGTCTGAAGCATATGGTTCTCTGGTTGTCTCCAATCCAATGTCTGCAATCTTTGACATCCCCCTCACTTCTAACTTGCCTAAAGGAATGAAGCGGGCTATAGCATTTACCACACTTTGAGCTCGTAGGTTGATCATACATAACTTGAAAGATTCTCAACCCCCTTCACATGCCCGCTGGATTCGAGAGGTGCTTTACAACCTCAAAGTAGAGAAATTGAGGTTTTCTCTTAGAGGCTCCATTAAGTTATTTCAGGCTACATGGGACCCTTTTCTTAGATACAGGTGCTGGTCATAAAATTAGAATATCATGAAAAAGTAGATTGATTTCAGTAATTCCATTTAAAAAGTGAAACTTGTATATTATATTCATACATTACATACAAACTCATATATTTCAGATGTTTATTTTGTTTAATTTTGATGATTACAAATGACAACAAATGAAAATCTCAAATTCATCATATCAGAAAATTAGAATATTACTGAAGACCAATAAAAACAAAGGATTTATAGAAATGTTGGCCAACTGAAAAGTATGAACATGAAAAGTATGAGCATGTACAGCACTCAGTATTTAGTTGGGCCTCCTTTGGCCTGTATTACTGCAGCAATGCGGCGTGGCATGGAGTCGATCAGTCTGTGGCACTGCTCAGGTGTTATGATAGCCCAGGTTGCTCTAATAGTGGCTTTTAGCTCTTCTGAATTGTTGGGTCTGGTGTATTGCATCTTCTTCTTCACAATACCCCATAGATTTTCTATGGGGTTAAGGTCAGGAGAGTTTGCTGGCCAATTAAGCTAATTTTCTGATATGATGAATTTGAGATTTTCATTTGTTGTCATTTGTAATCATCAAAATTAAACAAAATAAACATCTGAAATATATGAGTTTGTATGTAATGTATGAATATAATATACAAGTTTCACTTTTTAAATGGAATTACTGAAATCAATCTACTTTTTCATGATATTCTAATTTTATGACCAGCACCTGTATTTTGACTCTTTGAATCGTCTTGACCCTGAGGATACTTGAATGTCTAACATGATCTCTACTTATCTATCTACATTTACATTCATGTCTACCCTTTTTGATCTGTTTTTCTCTTTATACTTTTTATTTATGTATAAATTTTTTTCCCATTTGTTTATTTATTTATTTTTTGGCCTTTGGGTGGGGTGGGCGGTCAGGGTGGATCGGGATTGACAGAACTGTGATATTGAGATTGTATTGACACTTTGAATTTGCCCCAACAATGTCTGTCTTATGTTCAAAATGTTAAATAAACAAAGTTAAAAAAAAAAAAAGAAAAAGGAGAGGATTTGTATTTACTGGGACTGGTTCATGAACATCTGAGCAGTTAGTCCAGTCAGCGGGCTGCTTTACTGAGCATTTTTGACAAGTGCACCCCTAGTTCAGGAGGATGGTATTTGGACTGAATTTGGCCTATACTGTATTTGTTTGGGTTTTTTTGTCAATAAATTAACACAGTAGAATATAGGTAAAATGCTCTCCATGTGCATACAACCACATTACCGGTAAACTGATCAAATAAAAATAACGTCAAAGTTTCAGGATGTATCTTTCAATGTCTGGGTTTTATTGAATTTGGATGCAGCCGTTACAAGAAGAGCATTACTAACCTGACTGCTCTCTATAAAAGGTAAAGTTAAGTGAAGGGATTATGATGGGAATGTTCTTCAGTGGTGGGCTTTCTACTCTACGTTTCAGGGGAGAGAATCCTTTAAACTGCTGCTTACAAAGACATTTTAGAAAACTTCATGTTCCCAAATGTTAGTTTTAGGAGTAACATCCAACTGCCACAATGAAAAGTTCATAAAGATGTTGAATAACAAATTAAGTTTGGAGAAACTTAACTTCAACCCAATATGGTTCTCATATGGGGTAAGTAGTGCTTATAGTCTTTGAAGGCACTCCAGAGGGCACTTAGGCTATTGTTGATAAATAGCCTTCATGCATAAGCATTATGAAATTATTTTAATTGAGATCTTTTATTAAACCATTAGCAAATAAAGTCTAATTTTACAATGAATGGACTGTTAATGCAACAAGCAGAACATTTCTATGTTTGTTTAATGGGACTTTCTAGCCTGGGAGAGAAATCTTTGGAGCTGCTCCTTCCATTTTCTACCTTATATCTTAGTGATACTTCCTTCTGCAAGGACTGAAATCAAAATAGAAAGAGACAGAACCTGAAGAGCCTGATTGGAGCAGCTGCTTCAAATAAGATGCCAAAAATCCTCAGTCAAAGTCAAACAAGTTTCTCACAAAAATGAAAAAGCAGAAAGACTGTTCACTGAGACAATGTCGCTCTTTTCCCATTGCTGTCCTTGAAAAGGTAATAAAGCTGATTT